TTTTTTTTTTTGTAGCAATCGTTGTTTTTTAAGAATTTCAGCTGCAGCTATAACGGTGAAAAAAATGTTGTTGGCTTATATGTAAAAAATTTGATCTTTTGTCTTTGATAAATTAGCCGATAAAAATTTTTGATAAATCTCGGATTTTCAGTTTCTAAAATTTTTTCTGTTACTTATTTGCGGTATGCAAAACTTATGCTCGGAGGACGAGATCGAATGTAGTGGCCATAGCCAGAATAGGCAACCCATCCAAATAGCTATCAACCACTGCAGTAATTAAAGACAACTGGCAGTAAGCCGGCTTTGTTGCAGCTGTTATCTTACGGAGCCTCTACGAACTTACATTGTCGGCAACTGAAGCCCTTTAGATCGGTTTCACTTACTGTTGTTACTGCTCTTGCTGCTGTAGTTGCTGCAGCTGCTGCTACATTTGCCATCGCTCGTGCTGTTGCCATCATTTTATTTATGCTCTATATTTTTACGCTTAGACTTTTAATCTTTATATTTCAGAGTTCGATTTTTTTTCTTTGTTTATTTTTTTTATCAGTTTTCTCAGTGGATGTTTTATAGTTTAGAAAGAAAAAAATATGTTTCTTTTTTTGGTGCGAACAGTGCTTCTTAGATGCTGAATTGCAAGTATTTGATGGTATTATTTAATGGAGGATGGGAGAGGACAAGCAAAGGAATGACGGGTATTTTTTTTTTTTGCGGATGTACCTTTATATACTTACATATTTGCTAGTCAAATACGTCGTTTTATCGTTTTGACATAACCGGCTGAATCATCGAGTTGATTGCCGATTTTTTGTTATTTCTATTCGACTTTCATTTATTCAGTTTGTTAAAAATACAAAAAAAGAATTTTTTTTTTTTACTCTTTACACTGAATAAATTAGTTTATTCTTTAAAGTGTTTTAATAGGTGGCAGACCAATGAAATGTTGCAATAGTCAATTTGCTCAAAGTCTTTGGTTTTTTTTTAAATATTAGTTGGAGAGTCAAATTACTGGAACTTTTGGCATGTATATTGTTTAAAATTCAGGCCTTATTAATGAAAATACTGTTGAATTGTGGCTGTTATCAAAAATCGTCGTTATTTTAAGAGTTAACTCTTTAAAATTTACGGCCTTTTTTTTTTCAAGCAGTAGATAAAAGGGACTTTTTTTCGCTTTTCACTGACTTAGGTGACAGCTTCTAGAAGTACAAGTGTGACATAGAATTTTTATATATCAAAGTGTAATGTGACTGTATATGGAAAAAAAAATTCAGTTTTTGGTATTTATGATTAATGGCTCGAGGTTGTGAGATATCTACATCAGTAATTTGCATGGTCAAGTTTTATTCCACTTTAATTTTTTTAATCACCAGGTATCCAAACTGCAAGGAGTTCTGAATCACTGTTATTATCATTATAGTTTATGAAATATGCGACTGGTAGCACTTTTTTTCTGAACGAACTAATAAATTGGTAAACAAGATCAGAAGCGTCGTAGGAGAAGTGTCAATGTTCTAGAGATAGTTTATGATTTGTGCGCGTTTCTTCCAGTGTTTCGAAGATGGGCGACGGAGTTACATTGGATGGCGCAGATATTAACTGGAAGTTCACGGAAGATGTGCAAATTCCACCGTTTCGTAATATGGATGAGTTTATCCTTGGTCGAGCAAGGTTCCAGGTATAGTTGGTGTTGCAGGAATTGTTTAGTATTTTTTGTCTTTTTAAATTGAT